ATTAAAACTCGAATTGACACATCTAAAAAATTATTTATACATCCATCAAATTAAACTCAGTGAGTTCATGTACAATTTTAAATTATGCCAAAAAAGTGGTTTCTTATTGTTTCAAAAATGGCTAATGTTTTTTAATATAGTACACAAATATTTTAAACCTTCTTTGGAAATACTTGTATAATTGTTAAACTTGTTTATGTTACAATTGCATGATAAAATTAAAAGGAAATGTCTAACTGATAAATCATTTACGTCGATAACATAATGTGCCGTTAAATTAATTTTTCTTTTATTAATGTAATATTGGGATAACTTTTTTTTGAAATATTTTATTTTAAATCAATTACTTACAAAGTTTAAGTTGTGTAAAAGTATATATCACATTCTTGAAATTAAGTAAATTTATTTGAGAACATCAAGGTTTCTTTATAAACTAAACTTTCGCAAAAACTTCTCTTTTCAGATCATTCGAAAAAATAACTTTTAAGCTCTGAGTATACTATTTCATGGATTTAAAATCAATTTATCATCTGCATAATCATTCATTCAAATCATAAGCCAATGGTTGAATTTATTTGATTCTTTCTAAAAGACTTATCCTCGCCTCGGGATTTCAGAATGATATACTTGACCAAAGTTTTTTATTTTCCGTTCCTAACAATGTTTTGAAAGGTTTTTTCTACTTTATTTGACCTACAACCATGCTTATCATTTTAGCATACTAAATCCCCGTAAAACGACTCAGTAATTTAGTATTTCCTGTTATAAAATGTATAGTCATTTATTGAGTGATATTTGATGACCAAATTATAATATAAATTGGCTAATTTGTAAAAAATGTAGACTACATAAAAATAAGCTATTGTTTTTTTAAATTTTAGTTTTATGTTGGTTTAAATATATTTATGTTGAGCTAAACTATTTCTCCTATCGTACTTACAATTGAATTTAATTGAATAGATACAATTTTTGTAAACCGTTTCCTTATACAAACATGCTCATTTTGTAGTTAAACATTCACGGATTGACAACAAAATACAACACTACTTGACGTATTGTTGATGTTGTTTAGTTCTGATTTATGTTTGCTTAATGATTGCATTAATTTACTATATCAAATACATTATGCGATATAAAAATTGATTTTTATCTACTTCATTACATCATTCTGTAATAGATTACAATGTTTAAATTTTATCTTAAAATTTACTGGTAAATACAGTACTATGCCACCTGAATAATTACTAGTACGCTATATTTTTATTCATAGACAAAATGGACTCGACAAAAATTCATAGATTCATCGAGAAATTTGATACTTTAAGTAAGCGTTTCTTTCAGCCTTATTTTGGCAACTATTATCTCAAAAATAATTACACCTAAGTGAACGCGTAATTGTCTAGGTATTATAAACTACATTATAGAATTTGAAACTTGATGCTACTATGCGAATATATGGCAGTTTTATACGACAATACAATGCTGATACATGTAATAATAGTATATAGAATAGTATCTTATGTAACACTCAATTTATATTTTCTTTTTATTTTATTTTTTGATTAATATTGTGTTGGCAAAATAAATATTGGAAATACAAAATATTGAACATAAAATTTTATAAACTTATTTTAAAATGTATTCTACTTCAATAATATGCTTGTATTATATTTATTTTATATGCGATATATGGTAAAAATATTTTATATTTTTTTAAAGAGGTACCATTGAAAATATAGATATTTTTTTTATGAGGAAAAATTATCACGAAATTTGAACTTGTTATACTGTTTTAAGATGTTTTCTGAAATGTGATAAAAACGTACCGGTGAACAATTTGAAATGGTATATACTTATATTGTTTATTAGCTCTTGGGATTCTTTTTTCGTTTGTTCGGGTTTACTTAAAATTAAAACGCTCCCTCGCCAGATCGTTTCTGAATGAAAAACTAATAGATTGTTATTATAACGTATTTGTTGTGGTTCTTGCGGTAAGTTTAAAGGAGTAAGCAAAGCTGTTTGCCGGGCGGGTAATGTATGTCAGAGCATATGTGTGGGTGGACCGATATATTAAAGAGCAAGAGGTATGCTATTGACAACCGAGTGCGATGTTTTTGTCTGCCGTTTCCATCCTTTGCCTTTCTTGTTCACTTTCACCTTCGCCTGTATGTCGGCAATCTGCCGAGCGTTGTCACTTAATGTAAACACCCTATACCTCTGCCACCACATCGTTATCAAGTAATGGATTTTTGGTAATGTACATCATATTATAATAAATTCAGTGCTTAATGTGTTTTTATAAAGCGTGTGGCTTCCTTTAAACGACGCGAACAAAGCACTGACTACAAGAACGTTGTATTATTCGGGATTGCATAGATTCTCACCAAACAAAATTTATTTTTCTAGGATACAATTTCTCTTACAAAAACAGTTTAATTTCTAAAATCAATCATAATGACATACTTTTAAAAATAGTGTCATTTGGATAAATTTTTAATAAAATATTTGTCGGAAATAAGGCTAGAGCACTAAAATGTTGTCGAGAAAGAGAGCTGTAATGATGTAACTATTTGGGGGTTTATTATTCATTATAAAAATATAATGAACAGAAAAAGGTTTTACTCAATTAATTTAATAACGTAAAATTGACAAATTTTTTATTTTTTTCATAACTAATTTTAAATTTTAAATAATGTCTTGTGTACTAAAAATAAATTTAATTTTAAGTTACTTTTCAATTTATTTTTTATTTGAGTTCATATTTGTCAAATCTCAAACCGTTATTATTATATTTATCGCTTATTATTTAATATGTTTATAGAATATAACAGTTTTAGCTTTAGACTAACACAATATAAATTCATTTATTCTATGAAGGTACAAAATTAAAAATATGAGTTATGAAAAATTGTATTTGTTAGTATTAAAAAATATATACATTCAATACCTATATACACCATATGATGTTCTGTTTGTTAAAAAAAATAATCATTTTAAATTTATTATATCCATAAACTTGCATAAAACAATATTGAGAACAAAACATAATTATTTATTTTTATTTGGAAGGTTAAAATAATTACAAAAAGGTTTTTCTGATGGAACTCTATTATTTATTTTTTAGTCCTTTGCGTTACTTTTTATTTCAATGATTCCGATATTTTTTCATATGCCTTACAATACTTTGCATGATTTGGAGAAAAATAATTGCGTTTGTACTATATAATCTAAAGCCAATTAATTCTATTCTTTTGAATTAAAACAATATTGTTTTTCCTTGAGCTAAAAAGGTAAATTACAAGTTATGTAGAAAAATAATAGTATTTTATTCAATAAAAAAACTTTTATAAGTACTAAAAATATAGGCCAGCAAGTTAGTTTCAATTTTATTTCGATAAGTATATTTATATTTAAAATATTATATAATTTTGTGTAAAACGAAAATATTTATTAGATTAGCCTCTGATGAGTTGTTATGTAACGGATGTTTTATGAATTTTTATTTATTATTTTCATTGATATTATATACATTTTTTTTAATTTAAAATAATTCAATATCAAGTCATAATAGTACAACAATTCGCATAAATACTACTTATAAATAAACATTTGGTTATTTCATTAAAATTTATATACACTTTATATTACATTACTTTTATAAAATTCTTGTATTGCGTTTTTAAGTAAGCCGTTCTTATATTTTTAACGGATGTTAATTCACAAGGTTGTCGTAGGTTTAACAACGTAATTATTTTTGAAAAATGTTTATAATGGTTATTAAGGTTGTTATTTATGTATGATATCTGAGCTTATGTAAATTTATCCAACATTAAAAAAGTTTTTGGGCGTTTATAGTTACCTTAACATCATACTCGCACTACTGAATAAATGAAGAGTAATTTTTTGATTTAGTTTAAAATGACTGAATTTTCTTAAAATGTTAGGTACGTTCAGTAAAATGATAGGTTGTCATCATCACAATTCTTTTTATTTTTTAAATTAAATGAATGAAAATTGTATTATGAGAAAACAACAAAGAATAATGCCATTGGCATTTGCTAAATAAATTGTGTTATTTCACTTGTAAAATAATGGAATACAATGCATAGTATTTGTATTTTTTATTAGTTTAATTTTAATAGTTTATAGTTAAGTTGATTTAATAAAATCTAAATCACTGATTTAATCAAGTTATTTCTTATCGAAAAATTAAACATTTTTTTTCATTATTTCTATATTTATTTAAATATCTATTATTTAAAACATAAATTCAGCCAATGATTTGGAAAAAAATTAATAGAAGTTTGTTGTTATAAAATAGAATTGGTAGTAAAATACATAAAAATGGTAATCTTGTTTTTGCACATGGATGAAATAAGTATTTCAAGAAAAGTATTATTTGAAATAAAATAAAAACGCTATCAAATATCTTGTTTTATTATCGAAAAGGTAGGTTGAAACATTTAAATCGATTTTCATACACACCGAGTATGAAAATTTACAGTAAGTAAACGTTGAATTGTATAGAAATGTAGTTTATTTAAAATTCTTAAAGTAATACTTAAATAGAATAAGAAGTATTAGAATTTGCACAACAAAACAATATTTGGAGCCATTTCAAATTGTTTTAACACTTATTGAAAAATAAGAAATTTTTGAAGATAATACGTTTATTTTTAAACAAAATATTATTGCTTATGTGCTCTAATTCAAAAATGTGTGAATTAATTTGAAGTATATGGTTTTGTAGATGGCATAGTGAATTCCGTCGATAGTTTCTACAGACAATTTATGAGGTTGAAAATGCAGTAATCTAAAATCGTTTAAGGTGTATATTAAGTACCGAATTTTCCATAACTGACTAAATTTTCCCATTAAGATACAGTTAAGTTTAAACGAAAAAGATATGCAAATTTCAAGTTATTGACATTTAAATCATGCATAATTTCAACGATGTGCGTAGTTAAACAATTATTAATTGTAATCTAATTTATTTACAGAATGTCAGGGAATATCAAATATGAGCATAACTATGCCAGCAGCCGTCGCGTCTGGCGAATCTGTCAAAATGACGTGTACGTATAATTTGGGAACCGATCCTTTGTACACAGTTAAATGGTACAAAGGCAGTAAAGAGTTCTTCAGGTATGTACCGAAAGAATTGCCACATACTCGAGTGTTTCCGTGGCCTGGAATCAACGTAGACGTAAGTAATTGAGAGGTTTTTTAAAGTTAATCAAATGAAATAAGTTTTAACAAAACGAAATGAAAATAATAATTTTTATATCAATTATGTTGTATGATGTTTTTTATTATAAAATTACAAACGCATTTTGCTCCAAAAGCTTTGATGGTTTAATATTTCTACATAAAACACTAATTTACAAAGCCAATTAAAACGGAATTGATTTTTTTCACGAAGCATGCAAACAATTCAGTTTTGAAAACTACGGCATTCAACCCTTCGTATTTTTATTGCCTTTAAAATTTATTAATTAGTGATCGCTATATCGTCAAACTATTCTTACAAAGCGGTTCATACATAGGTCATTGAGTACATCACAACTAAAGTTTAATGTATGACTGTAATAATATTATGGTTGTGCAATAAACGTGTTAGGGCCTATTTAAATCAGTAATACATGTTTGAATTTAAAACGGTGTGCGATTAACTTTTGGTGCGGTGTAAAGCATAACGGCATCGAAATACACATTGGTATACAATGGAGATTTATCACCTGTTCATTGATGCAAATGGCAACCGTATTATTCATGTTTTCCTATAATTTCATTTTTGCCTGAACACAACCATTCCCTTATTTTAATTCAAACTAGTATAAATGTATAAAATTATTTTTTAACAACCGCTTCCCCGCCTATAAGTTCAAGATCACTGTTTGACTGAAAACCTATGTAGATTTTAATTGTAGTGTGGTTTAGAATGGGTATAAGGTATAAGTGGATAAACGTTATTAGTAGAAACCAGTAAGAGCTGCTTCCGCACTTACTATTATCTCGCTCTATATATTAAAATGCTTGTAACTTAATATGTACTTGTACTAAGTTGTCAGTTAAATATGGTTTGCCTGTGTATTTCGTTAATGAACTTTTTATAGCTAATTTATAAACGAAAAAATCTCTGAAAAGTAGTACCTTACCTTCGACAGACAATGNTAAACGAAAAAATCTCTGAAAAGTAGTATCTTACCTTCAACAGACAATAAGTGTAATGTAAATAGCACAAAGAATATTATATGTGCTTTCTTTTACTTAAACTCTATGCTGATAGGATATTGGCTATGATATGTTATTATTATTATTATTTGTTGTATCATAAGACGTTTTTTGGAGGTCTTCCCATTTTCTAATCATTTTACACGTCATAACCTCTATAAACTTGACATCACGTTGGAATAGTGCTGCAAAAGTTTTTTTTAAATTGAAAGGAAAACTTTATCTTGTTCAAACAAAATATTTCAAAATTATTCAAGTACTTTTTTATGTTCTTAAAACCAATGAATCTTAGAAAATATAACATTAAGAAACAATGGAATGTTTATAAATTAAAGTTTCTATGGACACGACATAATGGTGTCTTTATCAACCATTTTATTTCAGGCAATGAAAAAAAAAATCAAATTAAGTTTAATTAAATTAAACTATTATTATTCTTTTTTGTTTAAACATTATAAAAAATAAAAATTAAATTAATTTTGAATGAAATTTTTTTTAGATAAAATAAAACAAATGATATAAGTGTATTTTTAAATTCGGAGTTTTGTATTATGATTTTAATAAAATTAAAAAAAAAAAGTTTTAATTTTCATCGTTTTATAAAATATTTACTGTATAAAAATGTATTTGAATTTATTAAAATATTTATCTATAATCATTAATATGTTAAATTTTTCACCATTAGCATACAAATTATAATGCAACATTTCGAGAGAAAAAGATTATCAAATTAACTTTATGAGATTATCTAGTTAAATTGGGTCACCTCCTTTTTCACCAAAATATAATTGAATATTATGTCTGATATTTTATAAGAAACCATATACACTATTAGGGCAAATCACTAGATTTCTCATAAAATACTGTTTAGGTTAAGAAAATTATTTTTGTTATTTCTTAGTTTTATAAATTTCTTAATATATGAGCCATTAGTTACATTTTTAATTCAACCCTTACTTCTTATAAGAGTTAACACTCTTAAGTTAACACTTAACTTTTTTAAATGGAAACATACTAATTGACTAGCTTAATTATATATTAAATATAACAATTTACCATTTATAAGTATTAAAACTACTTATAATATTATCCTAAATTTCTGCGAACATTATCAATAATACTAAATAAATTATTTAAACTTATTTTTGCGAAAATTGGAAATGACTTTTGGCCAAAATCGAACTCGATGATAAGAAAGAAGGTAATTTTAATTGAAAATGGCCATCCCCGTTAAATCGATCTATCAAAAAATTTCGTAGTAGCTAGTATTGTAATTAATAATGTTTACCTTGTTTTCAAGTTTAATGTAGTGCTACGGAATTACTAAAACGAATGTTAATTATATTAAACTAGTCTAGTAAAATTGTATTATCCTATTGAAATTTTAGGTTAGTCAGTCCGGTCCTAATCAAGTGGTTCTCAGAGATGTTCAAAGGTACTTATCTGACAAATATCGATGTGAAGTGTCAGCAGACGCTCCTTCATTTCACACGAAAATTGTATCAGCGTGGTTGCACGTCGTATGTAAGTATAAAAACCATATCATGTGTGAGACATTATAATTTTATAAATGCTCTAAGCTCTAAATCTTCACTCAACATAACTCTGTGAGGTATTAGAAAACGTTGTCGGTGGATAAAGTTTAGTGAATATTACTTATTGAATGAAAAACTTATTCGAATTAACTGAAAATTGTATTTAAGGTTCGACAATTTCCAACTTTCCAAATTCAATTAAATTATTGAAACACAATGTCAGATTTGGTCTAACTTTGACTGACACATAATGGTTTATTAAACTTATTTTCCTATGACAAAATAATGGCTATAAAATCTAATTTAATGAGAGATAATAATTTCCACATCGGAATAAAATTATAAAAACGTGTAACTTATTCATTATATTGAAATACAAAATAATAATTATTTTTAACGTCACTTTTTTTGTTAATATAAATCTTATAAGAAAATGTTGTACTTTTTAATATTTAATTAACAGTGGTTTCGAACTAAATTGCAATTATGTGAAAAGTTTCCGTGATAAGCTCTTCTTGTATCTAAGTTAAATTTAGATATGTGTGCCCCAAAAAAGTTATTATAATTTATTAAATTTTTTTTGCTCATTATTTTGAAAAAAATTTAAATATAATTCTATTTGGCTTCAATCTTACTATGGTGACTTTAAATTAGTCATAGGCTATAACTTCAGGTGTAGATATATGAATTTTATTGAGGCAAAAGAAGTTCAGCCAAAGTGTATAATGATGAAATCTCAAAATCTAAATGTCATAAATGAATTTTATAAACGTAGACCGTAAGTACAGTGTTATAACTAGGTCGAACTAACATTTAGTAGCAGTCACATATAATAATAGCAATCAATTATTTATTTCAAAATTTTAAAAAATTGATGAGAAAAATATTTATTTTTTTTTTAAATAATTTATATAATTTTATTTTTAGTACATAAAAGTAATTATAGAGTTTCTGGATTTATATATTGAATGATCTTTGTCTAATTGATCTAAGATAACTATAACAATATATAGTTATATAAGTTTATGTAATATCCTTTATTAAAAATAATATCTTTATAATAAATGTAACATCCTTTTAATTTAACACATTTTTATGATTATATAATAAAATGATCATCAATCAATATACATAATAACTTTTAGGTTATATACAGTGTTTCCACTTACAATAAACAGAATATATCAGTTTAATTTAAAAAAATCATTAAAAAAACTGTTATTTAAATAAAACCGTTATGGAGGTATCTATCTAATATATTACTGATATTGATGGAAGAATTCTTAGTCTAAACATTTAAAATTTTATTTTCGATGTTTTACACTGTTAAAATATATAATATTAAAACATGTTATTTTAAGGGGTATAATAAGCACTTAAATATATTTCTTTGATATCCAATAAATTTTTCAGCATATAATCGCATATTATAATTTGTAAAATTTTTACTGAGCCCCTACAAACAAACAACAAATTTATCGACCCCTAAATCATATATTCCCATATGCTCCATATAAAATTTTATATTTAAAAAAGTGCACCCCTTTGTACTTTTAGATTGAGATAAATTTAAATATTTATATAAACTTGAAATCAGCGATCGTTTGTAAAGTCACAAATTCCAAGAACCATCTTTAATTCGTATTATTGACTGTTCGTCTTTTTTTTATAAAGATAATTCGAGAGTGAATCTTTTTTCACAAAATAGTGTCAACAACTCATTATTTCTGAAACTGAATTTTTGATAAGTCAAACGGGGAAAATAAATACAATTAAAATTGATTTGTTTATCAGTTTTTTACCTCCCCAAAAAACTCACTGTTATCAGTTTGAAATCGTCGTTAGATTAGTGTTAGCTCTCCAACTACATACATACATACATACATACATATATATGTAATGATTTAATAAGCATACTACCCCGATTTTTTCGTTATATAATGATTTTTTTATAATAACGTATAGATTAGAATTTAATTTATTTTTATAAACTATTGTAAAGTTTATCAAGAGAAAAATAAAATTGTGACTGGTAGTTAACTATATTTGTATTACTCTTTTTGAGATATTAGAATTCATTATTTTCAAAAATACAAAAAAATTTAAATTAAAATTCATCAAATGGTAATTAAAAATATTCTATATTCATAATAATTGCATTCATGCATATAAATTAGAAGTAGCTTATTTATTAGAAATACTCGTTATCGTTCTACGAGTAATCATGATTTATGCAGTTTCTTTTATATAATACTGTTTTCCACTAGCCAATTTATATTGCAGTATAGTTTGAAATATTCTGTGGAAATAATTACAAAAAATCCTGATTGACAACCACTTAGTAAAATAATCATCATGGTTGAAGGAAAGCCTTTGTCACATACAATTTTTGACAAATCAGACGGTCTTTCAAAAAGAAAACAACAAAATGATTGGGTTATTTAAGTCATTTCTTTCATTTAAATAATGTCACCTTTTGATTTCGAGTTAAAACATTTTTATGATCATAATAATACCTGAAAAGTTTATACTTAAATAGAATGTGAAAAAATAAACAAACCACCTTCAGTTATTATAATGAAGAGTCAATAACTTAAAAGAATACTAATATTTAATATGGCAATATTTAATTAAAATGAGTAAACAAAAAAGTTTGATATGAAGGAATAAATGTTTTTTCTCCTAAGTTAAGACATAAAAAAAAAATTAAAAGATTAAATTTTATAAAATAATGTATAAACCTCATTTATTTCAAAATAAGTATAAAATGTAATCTTTACAGTTACATTAGACTTTTACCACAAATCAAAATAGTTTTTTTTAATTTCATGCTAAAAATGGTGTATAAAAATAAATTAATTTCATTACTCAATATTGATCAATAAAAATATTCTATATCCAACCAAAAAAAAATTCAAGTCTTATAAAATGAATAATAGACTTAAAATAGAATTTTTAAAGTATACTAAAATATAATATAAAAGTATAATAGCTTTTATAATCTATATTATGTATATAATTGATTTAATATTAGATCAATGATTTTGTAACGACTAAAAAACACTTCAAAATGATCCAAGATTTGATAACTATTTAACATTGTTTTATGACTAAAATTACATTATTAATTTTAATATTAGATATTACCATAGTTTACTCTATGTTTCAATTTGAAAAACTTAATTAGATAGTATTTTAAAAGAAGAAAAAGTTACGGACCATTTATTTTTTAAATTATAGAACAGGATATTATGGACTTATGAATAATAAAAATATATTTTGTACTTTTAAAGTTATTGTGTGAGTTCATGAATTACTTTGTATTTAAAATTGTATTATTATAAAAGTAAAACTTAATAGTTTTTGTTCTTATTTTTATTGATATTATAATTTTTTTAGGGTTACTTTTTCTATATCATTTATACTAGAGTTTATAAATAATTAGTATACTATATATATCATTTTTTATCTTTATCTGTTTTATAGATTTAAAATGGCTGTAAAATGAGCATTTATCTGTAAATACTTATTTACTAAACTGTCAAAAAACTAACTATAACTATGAGGTTTCTATTAATAAAACTAAACCCTAATAGTTTTCCGGAATTAGAGATATTTTAAACTAATATGTTTATGCTGTTTAATAATCAACATATAGTTTATAATATACTATAATATTTATTGTAAATTAAATACGAAATCAATTTGAATTGATGTGGTTGTATTGCACATACAATACGATATATTGCATACGGTAGATTGGCATTTTGGAAAGAACAAAATAAAAGTTTCAGTCAAAATTCGTTTTGTTGGTCTTTTTTTGAAGTAAAATCACGTTCAACTAATTTGCATTGCCTTTAATTCTCCATGGTAAAGCTAAAGAGTTCAAAACGAGATATTTTCGTTTTTAAATGGTATTATAATCCTTTGCGTGTTCTAATGCAATTCTAAAAACTGAAAAAATTAGCTTTGTAAAAATATTTTACTATATTGAGTCAAATTTAAAAGAAAAAACATTTAATAAAAACCAGGACGCAAAAATATAATTCTAGTTGTTTTTATCTGTTAAAGTCATAGTGTATTTCAGGGGAAAGAGAATAATGTTACCACATTTTTCAAATTAAACTGAAAGCTCAAAACATGTTTTCTCATACTATTTGTCATTTTATTTGTTTTGGATTTCTTCGAGTTTTTGTAGACAAAATTGTGTTCTCAGGATTAAAATCTACACAAGATGACGTTCGTTTGAACTACAAACCCCAGCTGGCATTAACGACTAGCTTGGATAAATATTTTTTGAGTATACAGTTTTATATCATTATCTTTTTTAAAATCGACACTATAGAAGTAGTTATTTGGTCTGATAAAAATCGGTCAGTTGTTATTTATACTATTTAATTTTGGTGGTGAACTTTGATAAAACATATACATTAATATAATATGTTGTTTTGAATTAATATTTAAAAAGTAAAATGAGAGTTGTCAACTAGCATTGAAATTGTTTTTTAGTCATTATCAGTCAAAGATAATAATAACATAATGACGAGTGTATGTGGTTTATATAATAACTTGGTGCTTAAACGTATCATTCTTGATAAGCTTTGAAACAATAAATCGACTACAAATTGATTATATATGACTTTCTTTTTTTTTAGCCTGATGTACTTTGAAGATTTAGGTTTGTTAGCAATCTTTTTTTCTATATAGAATTTTAAAAGTCAAGTGACTTTATTTTAAAAGAAACAATTATTAGAGAGTTTTAATATTTAATTTGATACATTTTTATTAATAGTATTAGGACATAGGTGTTGTCAATTTTAACTGATAATAAGTAAAACCATACAAAGAATTTACAAATTTGATTACCGAATATTTTATTTAATTTTTAAATTTTCTTATTAAAATAAATGGTGGTCTTATACATCACATGCGCCACCCATCTAAGGGACACCTGCAATTTTCTCAGATCACATTACTAACAACCATTAAGGCATTAGTACGGTTTGCTACCTTAAACTTAAGATAAGAGGAATCAATTATGGTTATACGATGATGAGGCAAGCAAATAGGTTAAGTTGAGGAGCAAAATTAAGTACAAAGTATTATTGCCAAATATCTTTTAATAAGTAAGTAATTATCAAGGCTCATAACTTTAGCATTTGTTTTTTTTTGTCAGGTTATAGGCATTCTTACGTAAGTTATATATTTTTCCAGGAAACCAATAAGCTAAATACAAAATTTTATATTTCATATTTCGAAATTTAAGTAATATTTTGCTTATTTTGCGTTTTTAGTATCGAAATTAAAAAAGAATATCAGGTATATAAAACAAACAAATTTTTTTACAACTATAGTAACGAAAAAAATTTGATACTAAAGCAGCGCAAATTTATCTTTAATTAAATAAATAAAATATATATTTACACATACTTCTACCTTACATTCAATGATTTTTATTTAAGCTTGTTTATTTAAATATGATCGCGTATTGATTTTGTCTAAAATAGATTATTATTATTTTTATCAAAATATTTATGGACCGACCCGATTGCAGTCTTTAGTAATTGTATAAACTATATCGTTTAAGAATAATGGTTTTTGGTGGTTTTGTTTAAAAATTGAATTTATTCATTTATTTTTATAAATAATCGTGAAAATTCATCTTTGAAAAGCGTAGAGAAATATGTTAAAAATGATAATATTTCACACATTTTTTTAATCTGAAATTTTTATACTAAATATATTTTAATATATAGACTGAGGAAGATATGCCAGGATATATTATTTTTCGTCATTAAGCATTTCTCTACCATACTACTTGTCCAATAGATGTAAAAACAGTTTTGAAGAAATTCTTTTGGTGAGACTATTTTTTCACGTTTAATACATTTAACAAATATCTAAATTGCCATTAAAAAAATCAAGTTGATACAATTATGAGGGATAAGAGGTTAAAAATATTTAACCACTTATATTTGAAAAATATATACTACTCGACAATGCCAAAAAAAAATTCTGAAAATTGTTATTATTATAGGAGATTGTCTGGTATCTGGTGCAAGTCAGCCATAATACTCGTCCCGTTCATCAATAGCTCTTAGCCAAAAATTATCTTTGACTCCTTAATATGTGAAAGAGGGCCACCGCTTTTGTAACATATTAAGTTTGGAAAATATAAGGATGTAAAAATGATTATTTTTTTCATTATTATTTTAGAAGAAACCTAACGAATTGACCAACGATAAATCAATCCACTTGTATAAGGGTAAATTTTTAATCTGGAGAGAGACCTATTTATTGTTTCATTAATACTTTTCCCAGTTGAATAAAACTTTAAAATAAATAGTTTCATTAAGTTTTAGTTTTTATTTTTATAATATAGTATGTTAAAACTGTTGATTAAAATTGTATTCATCTCGAGAATGGGATAAATCGTTAACACTTCGTTANAGTATGTTAAAACTGTTGATTAAAATTGTATTCATCTCGAGAATGGGATAAATCGTTAACACTTCGTTATTCATTGTTTTCAACTTTTTTTCCTAAATCAACTCTTTAAGACACATCTTAACTGAAATAGAAGCTTGAAAAGTAGTTCCTCCTAAGAGTTTAACAATGTTTTACTCTGGTTGTCATTCAAATTTCATTAATGAATTCTGTTAATATTGACTTAAAATTAATCGAAGTTTATATCAAATCCTAAGAAGTTTATAAGCCACAAAGCAATACTCGGATCTTAAGTTGCTCTTAGAACTTTGAAAATAAAAAAAAGTTTTTATTTATGTTTTGCTGTGTTTTACAGATCCTCCGATTGGACGACCAATACTGTCACTTGAAAAGCGGCATTACACAATTGGTGACAAGTTGAAGGGTAATTGTACATCACCACCATCCAGTCCACCATCGAACGTTACTTGGTATCTCAATGATAAATGGGTAAGAAAATTGTACAGACTAATTTTTTCTAATTATAATTCCCGTTGTTTGCATCGAAAATTAGTTGCCTAAACAAAATAATTAATTCGTAATTTCTTTTTATATTTTTCTTGGTGACTTATTTGATTGTTTTAGAAAACATATAATCGAAATAAGGCTTTTTGTGAATTCAAGTATATCTTAACCAGAATTATAAAGGATAATAATTTAACGATGACTCACACAATATATATAAAATTATAAAATATTACATTAATCTTTCGTGATTTAATAGTATTCTGCGTTTTATAATTATTAAAAATGAAAATTCTCTCTATCCCTCTAATTTCCCTTTAAAATTTTAACAAATTATTAAATTAAAACATATGTTTTACTACCTTACAAAATAGACAAAAAACTATCTGAGCAAATTGTACGAGTCAGTTATCATTCCTAATGTCTCTATTCATGCAGAGGAAGAAATAGGGAAGTAGGCTGTATGAAATGAGTAAAATATATTTAAATAATATAAATAATTAACATAAATCATAAAATCTTATATATATATACTAATATGGGTAGGGGGACATTTAATACTAATGCCACAGTGGTACATGGACAAAAAAATAATAATGTATGTAAAAGGCATAAAATAATGACAAATAATTTTGGAAATTAATCACTCTTTATTAAAGAAGACTGCAGGTGAAGCGCAAGTCTGTTTATTTTTATCTCTAAGCACTAACAAATTTCTTTTTCTCTTCCACCTTCCTATAAAAATGCTTATATATTTTTAAAAGTTATTGAAATTTAAAAATAAAAGAAAGGATAGGAATAATTTTTTTTTTTTTTAATTATATAATGTAAAATAATCATAATTTATGTATTACATATTTTTAAAGATTATGCTGGAGTCATAGTTAAACAATCACTATATAATTAATTGAAATCAATGTAATTATCTGAAATATAAATTCAATGTTTTCTTTCTTTTATTTTATTAATAAAAAACCCAGCACAGTGGGGTCGCGGCACAATGGGGACGTGGCATAGATGGATCCAGTATAAATGATATCTGACAATGATTAAAATTACTATCATAAAAGACACTTCGATACAAATCTGTAGGTTATGTTAAATTAAAAAAAAAAATGGATTATTCCAAAAGCTACATGATCTCTTATTTCCTTATTTATATTCTGATTACAAATTTTATTATTTATAAGCGTAATATATGAATAAATAAATATATACATATATAAATATATATATATATATATATATATACATATGTATATTAATAATATATAATATAAATAGTATTTATTTAAAAAAAAAACCCAGCACAGGGGGGTCGCGGCACAGTGGTGACGTGACATATTTGGATCAAGTATAATGATATCTGACAGTGATTAAAATCACTATCATAAAAAACGCTTCGATGCAAATCTTTAGATAGTGTTTAATTTTAAAAAATAGGAGGATTATTCCAAAAGCAACATTATCAGCTAGTTCGTTATTGATATCCTGATTCAGATAAAGTATATCCAATGAAAAAGGGATTATTAAAAATTATTATTTCTCATAAAAAAATTATGTTGATCCATACACTTTTCAATAAGTTATAGCATTATAAAGTTAAAAATAAAAAAATAAAATCGAGAATTTTCACACAAAAATAGCATTCGGTAGCCAATTTCACNTTATAGCATTATAAAGTTAAAAATAAAAAAATAAAATCGAGAATTTTCACACAAAAATAGCATTCGGTAGCCAATTTCACACTGAACACAAAATAAAGTACGAAATTTTTTTTTACCATAATAAAGTACACTACATTAGCTTTAATTTAAGATATATATAAAAGTGTCAGACCTTCCGGAAATTTTCAAAAGTTAAATTGAAAAAGTTAATTTTTTGTAAAAAAGTTGTCATTTTAAATCCCCTCCTGTGGACAGTTAAAGGATCAGATATAATAAAAAAATATACCAAATGAAAGGTAATGATATCATGCATCTATATAAAAAAAAAACTATATTAATATGTTCATTTTTAAAAAAGTTATGACAGTTTTTAGTAAAAAAAATTGAAAACATTTTGAAAATTAGCGATTTTTAAATTTGTAATTTTTTTGGAGGTTTCCCCCATTTACGGGGAACGAGGGATTTTTTTCAATTTTTGAGGGTAATGTCTTCGACTAGATACGATTTGTGATCTTTTGACGTATCATTGAAAGAAATCGGTTCGGTGAGAGCTGAGAAAAAGTGGTAACAGACAAAAAAAAAAAAAAAACATCTTAGTAAAACCAATACCTTCTCAGCTTCGCATAGAAGCTAAAATATATAATGCTCCATACATTTTTCAAAAAGTTTTAGCTTTACAAAGTTAAAATGTAAAAAAGAATTTTTTTACAAAAAACTTTTTTTTTTAACTTTAAAGTTCGTTTTCACCATGAAAACAAAATATATTCCGAAATTCTTTTTTTTTCATATTAAAATATATTGCATAAGCTTTAATTTAAGGTATACATAAAAGTGTCAGTATTTCCGGAACACTTTCAATCCCTCCCTGTGAACAGGTAAAGAGTCAGATTTATAAAAAAAATATATCAAATGATAGGTAAAGACATCATGCATCTATAAAAAAAATTACATAGATTTGGTTATTTTTAAACAAGTTATGGCAGTTTTAAGTAAAAAAAAATGTCGAAAATTAGCGATTATTAAATTTGTAATTTTTTTGGAGGTTTCCCCCATTTACGGGGAACGAGGGATTTTTTTCAATTTTTGAGGGTAATGTCTTCCGACTAGATACGATTTGTGATCTTTTGACGTATCGTTGAAAGAAATCGGTTCAGTGAGAACTGAGAAAAAGTAATAACAGACACACAAAAAAAATAAAACACATCATAGTAAAACCAATACCTCCTCAGCTTCGCGTCAAAGCTAATAACATTCAAAATATTAATTAAAAAACATTTATAAAATATAGTTATATTATTTTTAAACACAACTTTTTTTTTATAAAAAAATGAAAATTAATAACAAAATGATGGTATATTTATGTGCCTATTAAATTATTAGCAACTGAAAAAAATAATATAAAAGAGAAACTATTGTTATTCGATTGACCATAAATTTAAATATTTTTTTTAATAAACAAATCAAATTTGTTTTTCATAAAGAATAAAAATATTTGAAAATATTAGTACATTTATTTGTCTATAACAATTACAAGTATATCAATTTATTTTATAACTTCGGTTATTTTTTATATTTAAGAAAGCTGTATCGTGTCATAAAAATGTTTTAACACTAGTACTTTTAACAATTTGTTTTTTTGGTGTATGAAAACAGTTCGTTATATTATTTATGTCAAATTATGNATGAAAACAGTTTGTTATATTATTTATGTCAAATTATGTGAGTAATTATAAGTTTTAAACTTAAAAAGTCAACAATATTGGCCTTCTTTCACGATACAGTTGTTTTTTAAGTTATTTAACATTTGCTATTTACTCAGTCAATGCTTTATTTTAAAATTTCCTAGATTCTAAAAAAAAAAACCATTGCATTTGGTAATTACAATTTATTTCTATGTTTAAACGATTAATNCCATTGCATTTAGTAATTACAATTTATTTCTATGTTTAAACGATTAATAACAACTTATCACGGAGTACAAATTTTAAACAGTTGTATACGTTTGAATGTTGTATAAAATTCGTATACAACCAACTGTTCAGATTTTTTACTTAACCTTTAATTAAAAATAGACGAATTTTAAGTTTAAATACTACTACTTATTAATTTAAAATTTTAAATTCCGTAAAATGAATATTTTACGGGAAAAATAATTTTGTTTTTCAAACAATTTGTTATATTTTATGAAAATTAAGTAGTAATAATGTTCTACTATAAGCAGGTATTAATAAAAAAATTAATTTATTGATAAATAAGTTTTTATTAGAATAATTCAATACTAGATAAATGTACAATATAGATACAACAAATAACTAGTTCATTAAAATGTATTAATGTCCTATATAGGATAAAGTAAATACAACTTAAGATGTATACAAGAAACACTTTTAAACTGTTGAAACATATATGTAATTAAACAATTAATAGGATTTGTTTAAAAAGTTTTAAAACCAGATTATTGTCAATAATTGAATATAAACCCCAACGCTTATAAAATACTTAAAATAAGTTGCGTATTTAAGAGAGTTTTAGGATAAGCTTTCATTTATAAAACAACTGGTCTAGACTTTGATCTGATTCTTTGAAATGATAAAAACTAGAGTTAAAATGATGTTAGTTTTTATTTAAAAAGCGAAGTGTAGTAGTGATCCAGTAATGTGGAGTTGTTGCATTTTTTAGATTAATGTTGATTGAAATCTGAAAGATTAAATTACTGTTGTAAAACGCTTCGATGCGTATTTGAAAAAATATAAAAAAAAAATTTATCATATCTACCAAAAATTATTTATTCATTGACCTTAATGTTTGATTACTTATAAAGGATAATTCATCAGAACATAATTCTTTTTTTTTTCATATATTACTTTAAAATACTATATTTTGAAGTAATCTAGAATGGTGTAAGCATTTCGTTTCTATGCAAATTATTACAAAATTGGCTAATTTTACCAAAAATGAAATGATTTTTTAATGTTTTTAAATAATTTAAAGGTATTTTATACAAAAAATAGCAATAAATACTATTAAGAAATTGTTGAAAAAAAAAGTAGTATTGCTAAAAATAAAAATTAAAGTAGTGTTAAACCAACGAAACGTTTTTTATAATTTCAATTAACAAATTATAATCATCAAGTGTATAAAAAAAAAATTTTATCTAACAAAAAAAAAACCACTTAACGTCTCATTAATAAGAGTAAAAAAATTGTAACACTTCCTTCAACAAGATTTTCCTAGATAATACAAAACTAAAAATATAAATTTGTATAAAGTAAATAATATAAATTGCATTATTTAACTTGATCGACATTATATTAAATTTTTTTTGTATTTTGTAATAAAAGTTTCCGAATATTGATTAAAATTTCTAGGAAAAAACTTATGAACTCTTTTATATTCCGAAAACTAAGATTTAAATATTAATTTCTTTTCTTAAAAGATTGCATAATTTAGAAACATAAGTTTTATTTTAATATACTTCAATAATGGTAAAAAATTATAAGCATTTATATATTGTAAAAACCTTCTTAAAGTAAAAATAAAATAAAATTTTAATATACAGGGTGGCCCACCACTCACTGACAACTTAAATAACTTTTGATCCAGTTAATATTTTTAGTTGATTTTTTTTTTAAATAATAGTTAGACGTTAGGTCTATAGGTATATCTCAATAATTAATTGTTTTATATTTTATTAAAAATATTAATTATTTTAAAATTTTAAATAAAATGTAAAAAAAAAATCTAAGATAGCTATTTTGTAGAGTAGAATTTAAGAAAAATTTTAGTAAAAAAATATCTTATTAATATTGAGTAGTAAATATTCTGTAGCGTTTTGAAGTTTGTGAAAATTTGAATTTTCATGTACTATTTTACGGTATTAAACATTGAAATACGTATTGAGAAAAGGACAGAAGAAAACGCTATCTTTTCAATATACTTTTGAATGAGAGTGATAAGTAATAATTGCCTTATCTAATTTCTTATCATGGTATTAATGCCAAGTTTGTAATGTATACACATTATCATCATATGTATACACAGTAATCATGAAAAGATAGCGTTTTCTTCTGTCCTTTTCTCAATACGTATTTCAATGTTTAATACCGTAAAATAGTACATGAAAATTCAAATTTTCACAAACTTCAAAACGCTACAGAATATTTACTACTGAATATTAATAAGATATTTTTTTACTAAAATTTTTCTTAAATTCTACTCTACAAAATAGCTATCTTAGATTTTTTTTTTACATTTTATTTAAAATTTAAAAATAATTAATATTTTTAATAAAATATAAAAAAATTAATTATTGAGATATACCTATAGACCTAACGTATAACTATTATTTAAAAAAAAAATCAACTAAAAATATTAACTGGATCAAAAGTTATTTAAGTTGTCAGTGAGTGGTGGGCCACCCTGTATATAATTGAAATAAAAAATCTTTGGTTATTATTTAGTGTACTATAAAAATAGTTTAATAATAGTATAAAATTTCTTAAAATAAATTTTCAAAGAAACAATTCTAAAAAATAATTAGTTTCAAACTTATATCTCATAAATATGAAAACCATTTATCATAACTACAGATGGAAAATATGAAAAAGTTCTATGAAAATTCATTTACTATTTTTTCGACACAAGATTGAATTAACTTATATTTTGTTTATCTTTTAAAATGAATCAAATTACTTAAACCACAATAATTTTCTTTAAGAATCAAAATTAATATCTGCACTTATTGTTAATACTATTGTAGTAATAATATTTATAATCTATATATATAGTAAATTATTGTTAAACTGCCAATAATTGGGTGAACGTTATATCATTTAACTTGTTCAAAACTTTGTTTCGATCCCTGCTCAAATTAAAAATTATTTCACTAACTCTCATCTATGAAAAATAAGAAAAAATAACTAATCGCATCAAGCAGTAATTGTTGAGATGATTCTTTAAGGTTGACCAACTATAAATAATTTTATTAACTTTTAAGTAATAATTTTCAGAATATATTTATATCTTATGGTAGCCCTTTATACGGTTCAGCATTTAAACAATTTATAATAGTGAATTGAAATAATAAAAACAAAAAATCATTATTGTCAATGTTTTTAATATTTTCGTCATCTAAACCATAGAGTGACTTGATAATTAATTTAGAATCATAATTAAATTGTTGTTTATTCAAATAACTAAATTAGAACGCCATAACAATCATCTNCTATAGAGTGACTTCATAATTAATTTAGAATCATAATTAAATTGTTGTTTATTCAAATAACTAAATTAGAACGCCATAATAATCATCTGTTACTTTAACAGTGATTTTATTAATTATAATTGCTACACAAAACCATTAGAACATTGTTACCATTGTTGTCGATATTCGTATAAAAATAACTTATTTTTCGCTGTTGACATACGATGATCCTTATGAAGCCTGCGTGTAAAATGATTTATCAATTCATTTCTAATCATTTAATAGCGATGATTTCAATGATGTGTTTCAGATGAACTCGAGTTTCGCTCGTTCGTTAGACGATGATTATGAGATCGGTCGGGGTCACAAAATGCGGACCACAACAGTTGGATTGGAATTGGAAGTAAATAGTTTCAGGGTAGGCAAAATGCGTATTCGTTGCGTGGCCGACTTATATGGTGTTTTCCGTACATCGACAGAAACAATACTGGACGAAGAGAAACCTCGACTCGCATCAATTTTGAGTACATTTTCGTCTTCGCCTAACGGTAATTATTAACGATATTATTTATGATGTTTAAAATAATGAGCCCCCATGTGGGGGGTTGAATTAAGTCGGTTGTGATCCTACACGTGAACGTGTACGTTGTGTTCATAGACGACGAAGTGCTGGATGAAAAATGTAGTGTAAAATAGGTTTAAGGAGGATTAAAGGCGGCGGCGATGGCAGCACATATTCCTCGCCAGTGGTTGTAATGTAATGGTCTCCAGTCGTGTAGAAGGCAATTTATTTGTTTGCCGTGTATGTGTGTGTGTGTGTGTTTGGTAGCGTTGCTGCAATAGCGTATATATCACACGATCTTAAAACCTACACAGACGCGTAAAATACAATGAGAAAAAAAAAATAAGAAAAAGGCAAACTGTCCACCATACCGCCAATCCGAAAAACTTAATATTTATCATTTGCTTTTATCCAAACTCTTACGATATACACAGATGTTTATCATTTCCATTAAAGGCTAGCGATAGGTTTTCTTATAGTTTCCTTGTTGACCAAACTTTTTTAAGATATTGGCAATCGGTTGAAAACAGGTGTCAGATTTATCCATTTTCCACCTCATTTATTTTCATTTTCTTTCTATTATATGTTTTGGTCGGATCAATTATCTTATCTGAAATTCCTGTCTAGTGTATTTATAACAAGTGGAACACAATTGATAGCGGGTTTATTGGTTTTTAGTACAGACGATATTTTTCAGAGTTAACATCATTTTTAAACTCATTTAGAGTTTTAAGTAACTATTTAATGAAAAAAATCATGTAAAAAAAGCTTCTCAGAAAAATAATAAACTGAATATAATTACGTTTTTAAAAATAAAACACCAAAAAGAAATTTTACATTAAGACAGTCGCATTATAATGCGTTCGTATGCCAACAAACGCTATAAAAATGGCTTTACGTATTCATATTTCAGNAAACGCTATAAAAATGGCTTTACGTATTCATATTTCAGACGTAAAATATTTTGTCATATTTAATATAATGAATAGTAACATTAATACAATTAAAAAATAACTGAACTCAATTTTTTTTTTTTAAAGAAACATTTTTCTTTACTTAGAAAAATAAACAAAAGTAAGTTCTAGGTATTCCATAATACTGATATTTTTTCACAATATAATTGATCAATACATGAGTAAATAACAAACAAAATATTTTTAAAATTGAATTAATGTAGAACATAACTTAGATATTGAAGTAAACACAAAAAAACTGTCAATTTTATATA